CTTTAACATTGGTCACACAGACCCTCATTTCCACCTATCCACTCTCCCATTTTTACCCTAAGATGGCCATTTCCCCAGAGTTTCGTTACCTATATCCACTCAATTGTACCTACATCTTACTCTTACTAACACTGAAATACTCCTACACCCCACGCCCATAGCTACGATCCTGAAGGCCTACACACACACACTCACAATTCGCCTGTGTCTACTACTCAACCTCAGTATCGGAACTAATCAGTCTTTACCGACCATACACTTACACCTTCCCACTCTTCCGGCCTGGAGAGGCCACCCACCCACACCACTCAGTCAGTTATCCCTTAATAACCATGGGGCAACGACCTAAATAGACCCCACATATACATCTCAACCCATACCAACACTGGTAATGCCCGGCCTAGAAAGGCCATGCACACACATCCAACCAATCAGTTTTCCATGTCCAACCTGGGACAACGGCTTATAAAGACCACAAATACCAATACCCTAGTCCACATCAACACCGGCTATACCCGATCTAGAGAGGCCACACACACACCTAGTCCACCTTTATCTCAACTACAACCAACGGCCTATATAGGCCACCCCTACACACGAAGTACCGTACCACATGTCTTCCCCCACACAACTCTCGATCAATGAAGGCCCTCCGCATATCTATCACCCAACCTGCCCCCACAGCCATAAAGGCCACCGCACTCACACATACACCAGATCACATATCTCACATACTCAATCCATACCATGCTTAGTCAGTCTCTGCCACACACGCACACACCAGATGCCATATTAGAATGCTCACTCACACTGTCACACTTGACCTGTAATGGCCACATACGCACACCGACAACGTCATGACTCTTCTAGAGCCACATGTACTCACACACATACCAAATCACATAAATTCAACTACTCAGTCCCTACAATCTTCAGCCAATATCTGCCACACATGCACATACCAGATGGCATACTGAACAGTTTGCTCACACTATCACACTCAGCTTGTAATGGCCACACATGCACACCGACTGCATCACGACCCTTCCTCGCTCCAGAACACTCAATTCGTCTATTCTACTCGGATCTTATGGCCTTGTCCTAGCCTACACAACTTCCGCTCATCCTATACTCTCACAAACTGCTTCTACTTTATCCACACCAAACCTCTTCATAGTAGAGATTACTACATCCACACTCGACTTAATAACTTCATCCGCATCTCTCCTCCCTCAGTATCGATCACATCATTCAATCGATTTTAAGAAAAAAGGAAATACATATAGAATTGATCTTGCTTTACCATACCGAGTCAGAAATCCTAAATTTTCTTAGCTCTTGCCTCTATTTCCTCTCCTTCAGCCGCAACTCATTCAACTCCTCTGGTCCTTCGAATTCTCCCCCTTGATTTCACTCTCCCTCATCGTCTCCTTCACTTTTCCCCTGTATCTCCCTCAGCCGCTCTCATTATCCTCTTTCTCTTTTTTTATTTTTTTCCTTTTTTTGTTACCCATAATTCCCTTTTTATACTCCACCCAACTCACATCCTATCCGTTGAAACTCCATCCCCTAAATCTCCACCGTCCATCCCATCTCTCTACTCTCACTCACTCACTCTCACTCACTCTCTCTCCCTTATTCACCTATGATAAGTTATTATAGTAAAAATTAATCATACTACATTGTACTGTTATATTGTTATTGTGATTATGTCCACGTTGATAATATAGATTTATTTTTCTCTCATTGATAATGATTAAAATGATATTGTACAATGAAATACCGGTATTTAAATATAAAAAGTATGAACCGTACTTTCATGTAAATTGTGAGAGTCAACTGTATTATTATAGTAAATTATGGAAGTGTTATTGTATGAACCATAAAGGTAAAACTATAAATGTAGTTGTAATTATTTAACTATAGTGTCAATTGTAATCGTTAAAATAAGGACTAAAATTATGTGCAAATAAAAGAGGTGAATAAAATTATTGAAATAAATTAAACATAGATACTTTATTCAAAAATTTCTAATAAAATAATTGAAATTATTCAAGACATGTTTACAAGGGACTTAAAAGGGTTTTTCACATACTATTTTCCGTTATGTAAATTAGGTTACTAAATTGTTCTTAGTAAATACGTGCAGTTCATTACAATCCCTTATTGTTAGATCAAGTTTAAGACCAACATTAATAGTAAAGAGAACGAGACTTCAGTTAATATTGATTTAGTTTTTCAAACTTTAAACTATTATTTTGTCCTTGAGTTTAGAAACGCTTCGCGTAACTTGTCAATTGCTTTAATTCCATTAATGTTGCAGGGGAAGAGAAAATATAAAATTTAGATTTCTTCACTTCTATACGAATACGACTTAAAATCTACCAATTGATGGTATAAATGGACGTCCGGTGACTCCCTCTAGAGCACATGTTGTTACAAGTCAATTCTCTAGAATTTTTAAATAAAAAATAATTTTGATAATATATATAATATAATTTATTTAAAATTTTAAATATAATAATAAAATAATTTTTAAGTAACTATAAATTATATATTAATTTTAAAATTATGACCGATATATAACACGAGATAGAGATCTAATAAGAATATTAGAATCCTATTAATAACGAAAGAGGAAACATAACCCTTTATGAGATGATATAAGTTATTCTATTAATAATTGGAAGATAGAGATTGTTGGAAAAAATATATGCATATAAAAACTCTGTATGCACATGTTGTGTTTGTATGGATATATATGTACAGGAAGAACTTTGCATCAATTCATTGCTTTTATATCAATTTTGGAATTAGATTTTCCTTTTAAAAAGTTCTGAGCAAATAATATTTAACTTTCATAACAGACAAGTTATTCCATTTGATTATTGTCACTTTTTAAGTTATACATGTACGTATATATATATATATATATAGTCATGTGGGTGAACCACGTTCTCCATGCCCTTATATAACATATATATATATATATATATACTATATACGTGTGTGTGTGAAATTATCAAGCCGCAGTATTGCTAAAAAGGGTAGGAGAGCTAGTTGATCGTGTTCAATTTGCCTCTGGATAATATATATATATATATATATATATATATTATATCGGTGGTAAAAAATGCAGAGATGACTATTTCGTGTAAGTTTTGCTTCCCTATTATTTTCATTTCTATCACTTGATCAGAATCGTTAAAAGAAGTCATATCTTTTTATAATGGACCGAATCATTTCATTTTGAAATTCACCCTCACTTCAATGGTTGCATGATGAATCATTTCATTTTGAAACTTTCAGTGGGAGATATTGCGCATTACGTGGATATTCATGATTGGTTGAAGCAAATTTTGTCAGAAAAAGAATTTTGGAATAAATGGCAGCTTCGATTTTCAGTTGTACTTAGTCTTTTCCTGCAAACAATTTTAATTTGGCTAGGTAAGCGTCGGAAACACATTCCCACACCATGCATTACTATAGTTATTTGGTCTGCATATTTAGCAGCTGGTTGGTTCGCTACTGTTTCACTGAGTACTCTTCTGAGGAGCAAAGGTGGTTTAGAGAGTGAGTTCGTCGTGTTTTGGACACCGTTTCTTCTCTTACATTTGGGTGGTCCAGACACCATTACAGCTTATTCTGTGGCTGATAATGAAACATGGTTGAGACACCTAGTTGGATTATTAGTCCAAGTCGTTACAGCTTTTTATATATACTACAAGTTTCGAACTGATTCTCCTCTTCAGTTTATAGCAATCTTCGTGTTTATTCCTGGGTTGATCAGATATGGTGAAAAGATATGGGTGCTCAGATCTGCTAGTGCTCAAAAGTTTGCAGACTTCATATTTTCTGATGTTAGACTAGAAAAGTATTTACCAGATGCTGACAGAAAAAGAAATCACACCAAGTTAGATGAGTATGTTTCACCAATTCTAATTCATAACCCAGATACTCGACATGTTTATAAAGCATTATGTTTATTAAAGATGTTTACACCAGTGTTTTTAGATTATCGTCTGAAAATCTACAAAGAGATTATTGACGTATTCACAGTGAAATTTGAATCAGCAGAAGAGGCATTTGTCATGATAAATACTGAATTAGGGTTCTTGTTTGATCTATTATATACAAAGACACCATTTTTTCACACTACAATAGGCGGATTTCTTCGGTTTATTTGTTTTCATTCATTGGTTATTGCATTAATCACCTTCTCTATCACCTTTGAGAAGCAAAAGTTTTCAAGAGTTGACATCTTTGTGAGCTACTTGTTGTTGGTTGGAGGATTACTTCTAGATTTTCATGCAATTGTCTCTAATGTCCTCTCTTATTGGACATCACTTTGGTTGGCAAGGGTTAATATCAAACTTGCTATCCGACAAAATACAACTAGTAAACAATACCTTAACTTTCTTAACCCGTTTCTAAGACTACATAAACAATATCTTAGCATTCTTTGCTCACTTTTAAGTCCACAAGAGGATAAAGAAAGGCTTAAGTTAATCGGACAACACAACTTGATCAATTATTGTGTCAAAGCCAGAGTTGATGCATTGACTGGAATCTTAAGAATCTTTGACACCAACAATATTTTGGAAAAGTATTGGCATTCAAGCTGGGAAAAAGTTGATCCTGACATAATGCAATTATTGTATGATTACTTGTTATCCCTGCAACAAAAGTATAAAATGAGTGGATTCAAATTTAAGATTCTCTCAAACTTATTGGCTAAAAGAGGTGAAAATGCCATTATAAAATTTAAGGATGATCTAGATTGGAGCATAAGTGATGTAGAATTTGACCATAGCCTCCTCATTTGGCACATTGCTACTGATCTTTGTTATAATGCTGATATTGAGAAATTGGGGTTATGAATGTGACTACTCCTAAATGTGAGATCTCTCAATGCTTATCTAATTACATGTTGTATCTTCTTGTGGTGAGACCAACAATGCTTCCAGGGGGAATTGGGGTAAAGAGACATCGAGATAGTCGCAATCAAATTTTGAATTACTTTTCATCAGCTTCACTCTCTGGAAATGAAGATGCTAGGAGGATATTGAGTGATATGACGCAGTCATATGCTCGACTCACAACAAACAGAAGACATAAATCTGTGTTATTTGATGCACAAAGACTATACGAATCTATAACAAATGTGGCTTCCACCTTTAATTCTCTTGAGGAGAAATGGGAGTTGATAAACAATGTTTGGATGGAGATGTTAATACATGCTGCAAGTCAGTGCTTATGGGGAGAACATTGTCAACAACTTATCCACGGCAAGGAGTTTCTTACCCATGTCTCGCTACTCATGTTGCATTTAGGTTTAAGCACTCAAGTAAGAGTTGCAAAGTTCCCTACCGATCTCGAAAACAACGGGTATTATCCTCCATGGAGTTGGGATGATTTCAGTGACTTAGCTTATTATGTGGCTTAACAACATATTACTAACAACATCATACCCTGTGAGGATCGATACATTATTTATCTCGAGTTTGCAACTATAGATTAATTAAATAAACCTCAACAATCTTTTTTATTTTCCTAGTGTGATTACAATGATGAATTCTTATTATTAAGTTCTTTTTTTTTTCTTTTTTAACAAGTTTTTCACGAGAATATCTATAATTGTTTTATTTTTTTTACCATGTATACAAAGATCTGTTATGTTCTTTTGAATTGCTACTTGTGTGGTTTGTAATTATTTTTTTCTAAAAATTCAGCAGTTAATTTGTATTGGAAATTATTTATGAATTATTGTCTTCTTTTTTGCGCTTAATTTATTTAATAAATTTTTATGGAATTTTTTTAATATTATGATTATAAATTAATTTCATATTTAATGTATAAAGTATAATATATATATATATATATATACATATATATAGACAATTGATTATTAACAAAAGAAGAGATATCACTTTATTTATTTTTCAAAAGTTGCTTTGACTCTCTATTGTATTCAGTATTAATAATATTATTTATGTAATTCTATTTTTTCAGACATATTTTTTTAATAGTTTTTATTGTAAATTTATAAATAAAAATTATTACACCTAAGATTCAGTGATAATATTGGACTATTTTTTTTTTCCATTTTAAATTATTTCAAAAATAAATATAATTTGAGAATATCTAATTAAATATAAATAAATAAATTTTTTTTATAAGTAATCGTAATAATTTAATTAGTGTATTATTACTAATATATTAATAAATTAAATTTTTAATTCAATTAAATCAAATATTATAAAATAATTAAAAAGTTGTAATATACATATACATATATAACTTTTTTCATAAAAAGTCAAATTCAGATTAGCCATATATTAGTTTGGGCTGATATATACATGACATAGATATATATATATATATATATATATATACTACATTGTTAAAATAAAATTCAGATTAACCATAGATTGGTCTCAATAATTTTTTCTTTATTGAGAAGTTTCATAAACCATAATTATCTTTTAGCTTTTCAATCTGTTCATCAGAATATCATCACACATCACATGTTAACTTCTTTTACAAGTATGCACTCCATAACTTCTAGTTAGCTTTCCTTTAACTCAAATCTATTTGTATTTGTGTGTGTGTGTGTGTGTGTGTATATATACATATATACATATATATATATATATAATTACTTATCACTGGGTAATTCAAGAATACAAATCAAATTAGCATAATACCCACAATTGATATATTTCAAATTTTGTATATATAATTACTTATATTTAATTCACACCAAGTCACCGACTCATGATTTATTTAATATAATAAATGGTGGGTTAAAGTTAAACTATATTAATAATAATTTGTGTCATTTATATAATATGTCACTTGGCATAATATATGTGTGTGTATATATATATATATATTATTATGAAAAAAAGTTGATTGGAAGGATGGTAGGCCATTCCAATATTATGAGTTGGAATTGAATTCTACCTTTTGCTATATAGTCAATAAAAAAATTGTATTATAGTAAAGATATACGTACAATATAAACATATTATATGTATGATATAAAAAAAATATACCTAAGTTTTTTTTATTTTAAAAAAAGTAGTAAATACTAACAAACCCTTTCCATTTCCATCTTTATATAGGTTCGTAATGATATATTCCTCTCACTCTGTCACCTCCACTTTACTTCCTTACTCTTCCATCCGCCATGGCCAAAACCCTCTTCTTCTTCCTCATTCTCTTCTCCTCAACCCTCCTCATTGCCACTGCAAATTCCCAGATCTTCTCCAGAAGCTTATCTCCATCAAAGCTCGGTCTCAAGAAAGAAAAACTAAGCCACCTCCACTTCTACTTCCACGACATAGTAAGTGGCCGGAAACCCACCGCCCTGAAAATCATACCAGAGGCAGCCGTGACTAAAAACTCCTCGTCATTTTTCGGCGCAGTGTTCATGATGGATGACCCGCTGACGGTGGGACCGGAGGCGAACTCGAAGATGGTGGGAAAAGCGCAGGGGATTTACGCGTCGGCGTCGCAGACAGAGGTAGGGTTTCTGATGGTGCTGAACTTTGCTTTCATGGAAGGGAAGTACAACGGCAGTAATCTGAGCGTTTTGGGGCGGAATGCGGTGCTTTCCGGCGTCCGAGAGATGCCGATCGTCGGAGGAAGTGGACTTTTCCGGTTTGCCAGAGGATATGCTAAGGCCGAGACTTATAGTTTGGATCCTAAAACAGGGGACGCCATTGTTGAGTACAATGTTTTTGTTTTTCATTACTGAAATGTTGTCGGGAGGAACTTTCAATAATTAATTTTCTTGTAACCTGTCGTTTCAAATTTTCTTTTATTTTTTAAATAAAAACTATAATATAATATAATATAATATAAATTATATTATAGTTTGTGTTTATATATTATAATATTTTTATTAAGTGTAATTATTGTGATAAATGATGTCCATAGAATTGGTAAAGCTTTAAGAAAAAAGTAGTTTTGACACCTTCAATCAAACTGAGGTGAGGGTTATCTTTTGACTGTTTATGAATCAAAAGTCATAAATAATATATATATATATATATATATGTGTATACAGTATATTTATCTTTTCATGTACATAATATATATAATTGATCATAGTCCAAAATGGAGTCAATAAAATTTATTGAATTATATATAGTTTTCTCCCGACCATCTTCAAAAATTATCAATCACTTGAATTTTCAACAACGGCTGACCCGTCAACTTATACACGATGGGCAGCCGTATACATGTAAAAACATATATAAATACATATGTGTATATATATATATATATATATACAAACAGCATAAAACCCTTGATCATTAATCAGAAAACTAACTAAATCTATCTATTTATTCATTAATACAGCTCTGATCAGCACCATGTCTAAAACACTTCCAACACCTTCTTCTCAACCCTCAGCTCTGCAAATTCCGGCGACGGCTTCTCCTTGAAACTATCGCAGGTCTACTCTACGGCTGAAGATCGAGAAACCGACCCATCTTCACTTCTTCTTCCACGAAGTAGTCGGTGGCCAAAAATAAACAAAAATATCTCGAATATTGTAAAAAT